TTGTTACAAATAGGGATTTTTGTTCCTCTTTTGCTGATGTCACTCTGTGATCCGACAGGGAATAGCACTTGGATCTCTGCAGCCTGACAAGCCCTCTGTGCCCTTTGGGACAGATGTACTTGCAAGTGGGAGATTGTCTTTCCTTTTGCTGCCCAGATTTATATTTTACTGAAGTCCAGTATCGATCCCGCTGCCGCTGGGCTGGAAGCTCATTTTACTAAATGGGAAGAAAAACAGTTCCCCCAGCTGAATGCACACAAAATGGAAAATCCTGCAACAAAACAGCTCTTAAAAAGGGGCCTGAATGATTTCGCTGAAGCTCGAGGACTGCGCTCCTGACATCTCAACGGGATGTAATTTATTTAGCCTGACCTTTCCCTGCAAGACCGTGCTGGCGGCATTATCAAGGATCCTTTCTACCACTTGTACACCCATTGCCAAGGTGACGTCCCGTTTCATGCGTCAGTTGGTGAAGATTGCATCCGCGCTGCTGTGATGCTTTGTTTGCTGTCCTGCCTGACAAGCTCTTGGCAGAGTTTCAGCTCCTGCGGATGGCAGCTGCTCCGTGAGGGACCAAAACAGATTCAAGCTGGATGTTATTATGGGGAGTTTCATGTAGACAGAGCATGGGACCGGGGTCCCCTGGATGAGACCATGGATGAGATAAAGCAAAGATGCCCAGAAGTGCTACCAGGTGTAATGGGACGGAAGGACGATTGCAGCACTGCACCCCATGCTCAGCCCCCATCCCATCTCACTCAGGATTTATGTGAGCCCTTGTGGTGCCAGGGAAGCAGAGGCAGCTCACTGGTGCTCACGGCAGAGGCTTGCCAAAGCGCAACCGAATTTGGACAGCGGAGCATGACCGGTGGAACAGGTTCTGCTGCTGCACAAAACCACCTGGTGTTTTCTTCTCCCCTCCCAGGGCTTTCCCAGCGGGTCCCAGAAGGAGATAGAGATGCAGGTGGGGAGGACGTGTCTGTCCTTCACATGAGAGCCTGTCAGCAGTGGGGAAAACCATAGTGGAGAGGGACATGGTCCCAGTAAAGCTTCTCCCCCACCCCACCAAGGGACTGAAACCTCCAAACGAGGGGGGTTTTCACTGCTGGTTCCCACAACTCTCAAAGGGACTTCGGTGATGGGTGAGGACAAAAAGTCCCCAAACCCCACAAACTTTTTTATAAGAGACTCAAAGGCCTACAGTTATGGGGGAAAAATGAATTAGGTGGCTCACAGGGCAAAGCCTGCTCTGCTTCAGATGTCAAAGGTAGGAAAGCCTCGCGGTGGTTTCCCACGTGTGCATTGATTTCCCACTCCAGCCCTCCCAGCCTTGTGGCGGGCTGCACCCCCCTCCCACAGGTCTGATCTGAAAGAGGAGCTGGGCCCCATAGGGAGGGCAGGACAGGAGATGCTCTTGGCCACGGACACGGCTCTCACGGTACCTGTGTTCTCCTCGGACTGGTTGAAGCCACAGATCTGGCAGATGCTGCGAACCCACTTGTTCATGTCGTCCTCGGTCTCGGCCACCAGGTAGAAGGTCCTGTCGCTGGTCTTGATGTCGAAGATGTAGCTGTCTTGCAGCTCCTTCTTGTTGAAGGTCAGGCCTGCGTCCACTTGCTCACAGAAATTGAGGTTGATCACACGCAAAGGTTTCTTGGAGTGGTCATTTTTGTAGTACTCCAGGACGTCGGGGTCGCCACTCATCCGGCCGCTGCGCAGGACAAACCAGCGTTTCTTCCATGCCTGAAACCAAGAAGAGAAGAAACATGAAGGCTATCGCTCAAGCCATAAGGGCCAAGAAACCACAGCCAGGCATAGGGTGACACAGATGGACACAACACCTCTCCATGCTGGGATGCTCTGGGATGCTGCTCAGGACATCCCTGCAAGAGGTGCACAGACTCAGATCAGTTCATCAGTTCAATACTCAAATCCCATTGGTTATCTGGGAGAACTAAACACCAAAATATTCTATCTTAAGATGACGCCATGAAATGCTAGTCTTGAGGCTTAGAACAACCTTGCTCCTACCCTACAGCCTAGCCACACTCCCAGGACCCAAATACCCTTTGCTCCTTGATGCGAGATAATCTGCGGGGCAGCATCACCGGCAATCGCAGTGCCGAAATGCCTTCTAGCAGCTTGGAGGAGCTCAGGCGCTTTGGACACAGTGCCTTGGGTATCCTGCCCTTCAGAGAAATCCCTGAGAACATCACAGCGCGCATCTGCAGACACTAACCATGCCAATCCCGTCTCTGTTTAAATGCCAGTATAGAAAGGCTAATAAAACCAACGGGGAACTGGTTTGTTTTTTTAAATATCAGGAATAATGCCAGGGAGACCCGTGGAGAATCCAAGCTTCATTTGTTTTTCAGCATCTTCTGCTCCCCGGTATGTAGGAAACTCCTTAGCAAAGGAAAAGGTTATCATCGATTCTTCTGAGCACTGCTGACAGCAGCCCCCGGCCAAACCACCTGGGGAACGGACTCAGGGGGTTACGGTGTTTGAAGCAAACTGGCAAAATAAATGTCAGCCATCAGCCCTGGCACTGGGACCTGTGGCCCCTCTCCTCTCCCCACGCCAAATGCAGTTGGGAGCCCACAGGAGCGGGAATAGCCACAATGATAATGTGCTAAATGCTATGACTTACACTACACAGAGAATCATGCAGGTGTTGTAACTCCCCATGCCGTGGGCTGGAGGGGTTTTTTTGGGGGCTGGGCTCTGCGCGATCATCCTGGAGCCTGTGGGAGGGATGCACAGGGTGAGGGACCACCTTGAGCTGCTCCCCATCGCAGAGCTATGCTGCCTTGCAGAGGGCTCAGCTCCCATGGCGTATGGAAGGGAAGGACTATGTCTAAGCGTAGTCCTTAAAATATCTGAGTTTGTTCAAGCTCCCTTTGAAGGCAGTGAAGGTTTGAGAGGTGCACAAACAATGTGGGCTGGATATGGCCCACACGGATGAGCGGGGTGAGGTGGGATATTGCCAGCACTCCTGTATTACCTGATGCAGACCTCGGTTTGCACCAAAGGACGCCAAGGGAGGGGATGCGATTCCCACCATCCTGCCCCAGCCCTGGACGTTTGCTTGTTTTATGAGCTTTACCTTAATTATTTTTTTAAAAAATCACCAGTTTTCAGGTTCATGTGATTATGAGAGGTTGGGTCATGAGGAAGCACATGATGTTCCTAAGAAGGAAGAACCAACAGCCACAAATATCTTTAGTAACCCAAGAGAGGCAGCAAGGCGAACATTGTGCTGGGACCTCCATGATGCTCCCTGGGAGGTGACTATAGCTTCGTGTGTTGGCGATTGGGCATGTGCTAGATCTCAGCCACCCAACTGCACCAGGATCTCACAATTTTGGGGAATTTGGTGGCTGAAATAAGGATAAGAAACCCCTGTGATATTTTCTCGGAATGGTTGATTTGCACCGTACTTCTCAAAGGCTTAAAAATAGCTTTTGGTGGTGTCTTCGAGATTTGTAACCAAATTAGTTTTGCACTAATTCTCAAACTGGCTCCTGGTGCCAGGAAAGCCACTTCAGTGCAATCTTCCAAACGCAGCGGAGCAGCAAATTGCTTAGCAAGAGGACGCGCGAGGCTCGCAGATTTGGGTTTCATCTGGGAGATGCTCACCCACTTCTCATCAAAATGGCCACTTTTATATGAAAAAAACCCGCACGTGGTAGAGCTGTAGCCATCAGCAAGGGGAAAAAAACAGTTTGGCCAGGCAGCAGCAATAATTTGCTAGTCCATCTCCTCAAAATGGATCACCCAAATAATTGGGAAAAAACCTCATCAATATTTTTTCTAGCTCTAGGTGGAAAATGTCCCATTAGCTTCTTTCTGTTAACACTGATCCATTTCTTTGCAGCCACTTGGCAAGACAAAGACATGGGCGCACATCAATGAGGGGGTCTGAAAGAAGATCAAGTTGTGCAACCACATGAACCACCACCTGAATGAAGACACATCCAACGCCAGTTCTTGCTACTTGGATGGTTGCCTTCCAACCATTCGGAGTCAAGCCTTGCAGCATCCCTTCACGGCTGAGAAGCTGCATTTTAAACCCCCACAAAGTACAGAAACTAGACTCCAGAATTTAGAGCTTTCATGGAAAAAATAAGAGGAAATGCTGCAAGCAAAGCCAACGACGCTACCACAGCTTCCCTTTTTATCGCCAATGCAAGAGCCACAACTTCTCTAGTTCTCTTTGGCCTGTCTGATAGCAATGGAAAGCCCCATGCAGTCAATATTTAGCAGAGAAAACAGTATAACACATGCAGTCTGGTGGTATCAGGTAAGTCCTAACATAAGCTGGTTGCAAAACAACTGCTCTTGTAGGACAAAATTTCTGGGGAAGCTTCAGGAGCTGGAGTATCACTGGAGGGTGGGGACCCTTGGATAGAGCAACAGCCCCACCAGTCTGGGGTGGCCACCCTGTCCACCTCTGCCTGGTGCCCTCACAATGATAAAGAGTCACCGGTGTTTTTCTAAAACTGCTTCTGACCCAGAAAAACAGCTCATGGCAGCAGCTGCTGGACTTGCCTGTCCTGGACAGGTGGCTGCAGGCAGCACAGCTGGATCCATCTCCCATTGCACGTCCCCGCAGCAGGACCATTTCTGCCTCCTAAGATCAGCTTCCGAGCCAGAGGAATAAGCATGGGTCATTAGAAGAGAATGGAAGAAAATAATAAAGAAATAGCCAGGAACCTTCTTAATTTTGAGAAGATTTTTCCTGTTTCTTTCAATTTTTGAGCACTGGGCTCAGCAAGCATATTTTAGTTCTTCCCCATGGATTTGCTATGTCTCTGTTAGGAAAAGGGCTGAGCTTGTGTTTGCCAGGCTAGGGCTGTGCTTGGATCATCTTGTGGCACTAATGGAGCTTGCTTTACTGTATAACGATATGTGGCAAAGGATACGCAGCCTGCAGCATGTGGCCCATCCTCCTGACACACCTATTTCCCCATTCAAAGCTATCAATATCATCCAAATCTTCCATGTTTAGGCTTCCCTAGAATATCACCTTCCTACAAGAGGGTGATTTAAGGCTCTACCAACCACCAGCTGTGACAGCAGTAGGATGCATAGGTTCCATATGTACATGGCAATCGCAGCCAAACCAGAGGAGGATGCAACTCCATGTGAACCTCCACGCTCTGCTGCCACATTTCCAAGACCTTCTCCCACCGTGGGGCTGTGATGGCCAACACGCATCTCCTCCTCCACCTGAATTTTCCTTCTCTCCTTATTTCTATTTCTTCCCAGCTCCTTTGAAGCCCCTGTTCCTGTCAGCCCACATCTGCCAAAACACTGTGCCTCACTGCCACATGGTGTGAGCCAAGGGTTGTATTTGTTTAACAGCTTTACAACTTAGAGAGGCCAACAGCTCAACAGCCATAAAATGGTGCCTTTGCGGCACAAATTTCCAGCTGTGTGGTCCTTTGCCTGTATCAGGTTGCTTTGCAGTTAAATTACAGCTGCTAAAGGCCCTTAATATCATTGAGAAATATATTGACACTCAGCAAGTACTTCTTTTAAAGACTTTTTTGTTAAAAAAAATGCCCATCATGCTGCCAGTGCAATGTAAATCCTCCCGGGTGCCAAGAACCGTGACGGCTGCTTGATTGCTTTCCACCTCAACAGTGCCATGGCAAGTTAAAGTTTACAAAACTGACTCCTGTCCAGCTGGATGCTACCTGGAATTGGTTGTTTTATGGGTTGGGGAGTTGGGTCGGCAGAGACGAGGTGGTGCTGCTGGGTTCACAGGCTGAGTGCACTTAACAGGTATGCTCTGGGGGGCTCACGTTGCAGTTGGGACCCTTCCTGTCCCTTCTGCTGGGTGAAGAACCAGGAGAACCCAACTGAGAGGTGGCTGCTCTTGAGCAACCAAGATACAGTCATGGGAGATCTTCTGACCGCACCATGAGTGAGGTCCCTCACGTCCCCTGTGGCTGTCCTGATGGTGAAATACTGTGACAGAGGTGGTGGCATCAGTGCAGAAGAGTCAGACTGTCCCTTGTTGGAAAATTTGGGGGCTCCAAGTGTGTAATAACCCAGGTTCAATTTAGGACAGGTCAGACAGAAGCTTTATTAACTATGATCATAACAAAGGGACATTCAGACACCATCTCCTGCTCTGCTTCTCTGTTCTCTGCCAAGTGATCGCAGAGCCCCAGCCTATATACTGTTTCAGAAAACTAGAAAGAGGTGAGGAAAACAGCAAATTCAAAGTTAGTGAAGCCCACTATCCATCCTCGGGAGGGAGCTTGCTAACTGCCACAATCCTAAGAAGGAACCAAACAGTAAATAATGTGATGATATGGAGAGATGGCTCTTGGTGGAGCCTATAGGAGTGTCCCACCCAGTATTATCTTAGCTCAGAAGTGGGGATTTGGAAACAGTCAGAGACTGTTATTTTTTAGTTGAAAGGAATGTTCTTTTAATTAGGATAAACTTTTGAGCCAGACCTCTCAGATCTTAATAATTTATATTATTATTTAATTATATTAATTAATAATTTTACCACCACGAAGAGAAAAGAAGAGAAAAGAAGAGAAAAGAAGAGAAAAGAAGAGAAAAGAAGAGAAAAGAAGAGAAAAGAAGAGAAAAGAAGAGAAAAGAAGAGAAAAGAAGAGAAAAGAAGAGAAAAGAAGAGAAAAGAAGAGAAAAGAAGAGAAAAGAAGAGAAAAGAAGAGAAAAGAAGAGAAAAGAAGAGAAATAAATATTTCCCA